GAAAATAGGTTTTCTAAGGTTGTAGCTCTATCCAGTTTTAAAACTGCACTTTATTAGTCTGGTTAACACTTCATATTTAACAGTAAAGCAGGTGAATTGAATAATATAGTGCCTAGCTAGGATTTTCATCTGCTAATTAGGAAGAAGTGTTGCCGTCTGGTGAAGGAAAAGAATAGTTGAAGTGGTTGTATAAAGTGCTTGTTGGACATTATTTTTGTGTTTAATGGATTTGATGAAAGTCTTCTAAGGTAATGCTATTGTTTCTTATGTTTTGTTCCTTCTACGGGTTTTACACTCTACTTTTAGGCTTTTCAGTCATTGATTTGGGAATTCAGCATCTTAAACTTGTCTTGTAGTTATTTAGCTTCATTATTATTTAACTGAAGTTCGTACCATTAATAAATTGACGTTAGACAGGGATCACTGACTAGCTGTTCGCAGGTAATTTATTGCAAGGGTTAAAAAAATACTGCACACATTCTTTCTTTTGATAGCTTTGTTCTTTTTTGACTTACCCTTTAAATTCATGCTTAAAATAGGCTGTTTTTTAAATTCCTTTTTACTGTTTTCTCAAAGTCCTTATTACTGCTGGTACTGTGGGCTTTCAAAGAGAAAGAACCATTGACGTCATACTTGTTGTCTTCTATTGAGATTTGCCAATGCGTCGACCTTTTGTTAAAAAATCTTAGGAGAAATGACGTTATTTCCTTTTTATCAAAACTTACTGCCTAGGAAGACCTTGATGATAAAGTATTTAATAAAGCGGCGCTGAAGCAAAGAGATTCTTTGTTGTTGCAAGCAGGGGGTCAATCTTGTACCTTCTGCAATCTTTACTTTAAATAAGTTTTTGTTTAAAACAACTGCAACTGTCTGCACCAGACAGTTGCAGTTGTTTTAAATATAATATATGTTTTAAATATAGAGTAATATAATTAACAAGCTATTGACGCTTTTGTAAGGCAAGATTCAGTTACTGTTACTTTATAAAATGGTATTTCATAAGGCCTCATTTTCAAAATCAGTGGGGAAGGAGCTGCTGCAAAGTCTCAGTACTTCTTAGCCGCCGCTTCGTTGGGATCAAAGCTCCTCTTTGCCACCTCTGTGTTCTAGTATATCTGAGCTACCGAAATTTTTCAGAAAACTACGAAAGATCATTTATGCTGGTTGCGTCAAGCGTGTTAGCTTGGAAACAGTGATAGAAGGCAAATATTAAAAGTTGCTGACGATTTTGCGGATTCACGTCTGTGAAAATATTTATAGATTTAGCAAGCAACTGGGAATTGTGGGTGCTGCAGTAACAGCTAAGCTGTACATTGCAGAGACAACCTAAGAAGTCGCATTCGTCCTTGTATGCAGTTCAAAGCAAAAATCAGCAATGAGTGTGAAGCCCCTCGTCACAGTTTTTGCTGCAGCAGGTACAAGATATCCCATTAGCATGAAGGCTAAGTTTTAAATCTGCCAAAAAATCTTTTTTTTAAATGGTCTTTCGTTTCCTTCTTTTCCGCCTCCTCAACTTCTTGTTTATCTGCGGTTAATCCGCCACAAATCTCTTCCTGAGACGTCTCAAACAAAACGAAATATCTTTCTCACAAAAAAAAACCCAATCTAAATCTTAAAAGTTTCTCAAAAAAAAGGGTGAAATTTAGAGAGTACGAGGAGCAAATGTAAATGAAGCTTTTTTCTACTAGACTAGAAATCTTCAAAAACGCACTGCAAGTTTGAAGTTATCTTAGCTTCATTGTACACAGTCAGCAGAACACTTTTCAGTATCAGACTCTGAACAGTAAACCAAAACAATTTGAAGTTTTTCTTGGAATTATGCTACTAAATAATTCAAAATTTCGTTTTTCACTTTACTATTTTTTCGGAAAGATCAGTATCAAAAGTTGGAGGCATATGCCATTTGTTCTATTTGTTCTTATCGTTAACAGCAAATTTGAAGAAAAAATGTCCTCCCATACAGTTTAATAAGAAAATTTTTGACTATGCGGTGTGTTGCAGAAGAACCTATACTCGACTATAGTGTAACTGAAGTGCTTTGTTTTTGTTTCATTGTTACTGTTGCAATATTTAGAAACTATAGAAAAAATTAAGTTTTACAAAATGGTTAGATAAAAACAACTGACCGTTTAGCGACAGAATAGAATTTGCTTTTCTAGTCAAAATCTAAATCTATTTCTATTTAGTGAAATTGAAAAAATGGCTCTTTATACGCATAATTTTAATTCTAACGTTAACTAGGATCTAACCACTAATTATCTTTATTGGCGTCTACAGTTTATTTTTAACATTAATGGGCAGGTAAAGCTTTTCAATACAATTTTTTTCAGAGCATATTTGTAAAAATTTTTTCAAGGATAAGATACAATAGCTAAATACCATTGATCTAAAACGAATCTTGTTAAGGTTTCTGTAAAGTTTATTTTTTAAAGCAGCTTAACGTCAGCTATGTGATCATTTACAGCCAAACTTGAAAAAATATTGTTTCAAAAATACTAAAACTAAACTGATTAAAAAAAACAACTAATAACCTCTCTTTTATGCTTTTCACTACCAACACCAGTATCCTCTGTATCTGTTTCAGCGGTTTCTTGATACTCATCTGGAAACATAGTTAGGTTTTCTGTTACTTGTCGACGAGGTTCGTCGAACAAGAAATACATACGTCCGGGTAAACTTTCTGCAATTCTCTATATTCAGTGCAAATCTGCCTTACTGATCCCAAGTGTTGTTCTCCAAAATTACAAAATTCCTTCTTCAATTTCAACGTGATAATGTCGTGTCAGACAGAACTCTTAAGGTTTACATGGTGAAGGAGGCGCCTCTTTGTATACGTGACAAAAATCTAGCGCTTTTGTCTACATATCACTGTAGAAATTTGTCTTTAATGTTTGTTAAATATTATTGCTTTTGCCTGTGAAAATAAGCGTACAAGCAAAGGTTTACTTTTATATTTACACAGAACATTTGCCTGCTCATATTCATTAACGTCGTTCCATCCTTTTTCGTAGTTGATAGCACTTAAGGCTCTTTCGTTAGGGCAGCAACGATTCGGCTCGCCTTCTTCCCAATTGCTGTATGAGAGTTCCATTCCGATATTCCAAAACCAATTTTTCTCGGTTAGTTTGAGACCCAGCCAGAAAGGTTTATGATCGGCAAGTTCTATAATTAGGAGTTTATATTTCTTCGTTTTATTTACAATTAATTATTCACAGCATTTTATTATATGAAATATCTTTCAAAGTCCAGTTTTTAAAGTAAATTAGACCATATATTTTTTAAAACTGTTATTATTGGTTATGGCTATTGTTTGCTTTCTCATTAATAAGAAAATTCAAATATATACTAGTTCATAAATTTAGTTCACCATTTAAAAATTTCTGTTCTGCTTCCGATGTTATCCAAACCAGACTTGAATCTCTGGCAAGACATATCTGCTCTGCAATTCCTAGCTCCACTTTCATTGGAAGCTGCAATACATTAATGTACAAATTTTTGTATTTGTAATCTACACCCTAACCTACAACCTGCTTAACAAAACGTAAGAAACTCAAGACTTTAACTGAGGCTAGCGTTTAACAACAAGCGGATTTTTTCTTTGCTTCATTGAATTTGTATTCAGTTTGTAATTCAATGCTGAACAGTATTTTAAGCTGATAATTTCACAACTAAATAAAAAACTTACGAAGTAGTAACAGTGCTTGTTATGTTCTGTAAAGCCGCTGAAGCATGTTTTGCTGGCTGTAAAAATAGAGGAGTTGACCACTGTTTAACTACTTTCACGAAGTGTAAAAGCTTCTTTATTGAGTAAAAAGAAAAATATTGTCTGAAAGTATTATTTAACGTTTAAATGGCCTATAAAATTTTAACTCATAATAACAGGCTACCATTTCTTCGACTGATCTAGCTATTGGATACAAAATGTAAGTAAAGAATCTTTTTCTTTACGTGGTCCTTTGACAACGACTATCATTTTAAAATGAGATTTTGGTTGTCAAATCACTCCCGATAAATTCTGCGACTTTAGTGTATTTACACAGAAAAGCTACACTTTTTATTAAGAATGACTTAAGATTTTTCTAGTTCTATATAAACGTCTCTAAAAAGAGTGGTATGCATACGTTGAATCTGGCACATATAAGGTAATTCGTTAGAGCATTCTTCCAATTTCCAGCCGGATAAACTGCCCGAAATGCACATCTCAGTCTTTTCATCAACGGACGGCATGGGAAGAAATTTGGTATAACTGAAATCTGATCCATCACTCCAGTACCAGTTATCTGACTTCTTGACCAATCCCAACCAAAACTGATTTTTTGCCAACTGCTCTGCAACAGAGAAAGTAAAAAAACGAATTGTTATACACAAAAAACTTTTCGCAATACTTGGAAAAATTCAAAAAAGAGTTTTTAAACACTTATTTTAACAAAAAAGCAAAACTTCAGAATATGCAAAACGAAAGTTTTCAAAGTTAGAGATATCTTTTGAAAAACTGGCTTTATGACACTCTTTGACCAACTCGAGTTTGCAGAAGAATATTTCGACAAAAATTTTAGTCTTGCTAAGGCAACTACTCCGCCAGCGGCTTTGGCTCAAAAGTACCTCAAAAAAGCTACAACTTTATGCAAAAGAAAGATTGTTGTGAATTGTCAATACATCGGGCTGAAGATCGACGAGCAAGCTGGTAGTGTTATGTCTCAAAAGTAGACATAACATTGCCATCAGCATCATATCGGGATGTCTAAACATCGCTATCAATCTACCATCATTACAAAGGGCCGACCGATATCTGATATTAGCACCTGTATTAAAGAATCTCGACAAGATAGGAGAGACACCCTCTCTATATACATTCTTTTGAAGTGTACCAAATTCTGACAGTGAAAGCAGCTTCAGCAACTTCTGTATTCCTTTGGTGTCATTTTATGATTGGCTTAGATGCTTTTATTCCTTTCCTTCTGATCTTATATTGTGTAAATCTGTATATACGTTTCACTCTCTCTATTTACGTTGCATTTAATTTTGTTGCAGATTATCTCTAAATAAAATTGAGAATCGTAGTTTTTAGCTCAACCCATCCAAGTTATCACACATAGAGTAAAGTGCCGTGATCCTCCGTGGATCGAGACTGAAGAAAAAACGTTGATAAATTTTAAAATCTTGACAGGGATGAAAATCTGCATTTTTGAAGGAAGTAATAAATGAAATGAGGAAGTCTTATTTTTTGTTACATTTTGAGTGCGATGAGTCCTCATATATATACTTATTTCAAACTCGTAATAAAATAATAAAGTAGATGTTAGGAGCAAAGTAGTCATTATAAGAATATAGATACTTATGTCATTATCATAATAGAATGCATAAGAAGCCATCGATAATTCTAGGTTCAAATAACAAGTAGTAAACTGATGAAATAAACCTACGAGCAACACTGATAAAATGTTTTAGCGTCCTGAAGGTTGCCAGCGTGCCCCGCATCATTTCACAGCGGCCTTGTGCTTGTCCCCAGCTCAGTTGGTTTTCTTGCTAAATTCTAGCTTTAATTTAAAAATGTCTTTTGATTTTTTGTTACCTGATGCCCCGATGTAAACTAAGTAAGACAAGTGTCTAATTACATTAACTGTTGATTAAATACTGAAAAATTCCAATTGTCTTTAAAAATATCCAAAGAATAGCTGGAAAAAAAAGCAGTTGTTCTGTCCCTTTATCCACCATATACGTGCTTTTGGTAAATTGACAGATAAATTTATAAAAATTGTCTCCTCTGACAGGCCTACCTGTACTTTCTCACTTCAAGATACAGTTAGAAATAGACAGTTTATGATCAATATAGTTAGCGCTCATTTATTTATCAATTGTAAGAAAAAAAATTGTGTCACCTACACTTTTTTATTCAAAAGATCAGCAAGTGTTGCATTCATTACTTAAGAAACTGGTCATACTGGTACAGTGGCTTCCGTTGACGGGCAATATCATAGTAAAGGGTACAAAGACAGCACAAAAGGATCAAAATCAAATTAACAAAGATAATTTAATCAAAAATAAACTATTTTCTTATAAGCAATTGAGTTTCAAAGTTCAAAAATTAAGAGAAATTTTTAAAATTAAACTGGAGACGAAAACACATGACACAGACTGGTAAACTGAGTTAAAAATTTACTAAAAATCTGATTTTGAAATTAATAAGAAATACTGGTGACTAAAACTTTAAATTTCCCCTAAAACTGCAGAAATTGGTGTTGTGATCTACGAGCCATTTTCAAACGCTTTATATCTTAACACACTGAAATATTTTTAAAAAATTGGCAGCCATATTCTTAATTCTGATGTTAAAAAACTTCATTGCTGGTCAGTGCAAACAAATATATCGTCAACTGTTCCCTTACTTCCGTATAAATATATCAACGCAACTCTTTCGGAACGGTTTAATATTGTTCGTACTGCTACCCACTGCTTCAGTGAGATAACCCATACTTTTATCAGTTGCTTACTGATAAGGTCTACAGTAATCAGCTGTAATTATGAACAATAAGGGACTTACGAACTGATAACAGGAGCCATTTGACATTACCCAATAAAATGGACAAGTTACAGCAGCTATAACAATTATGCAAATGTAATATGTGGAAAAATAGAAATAAACCTTCGTTTACTGAACTATCTCCAGCTTTCTTTTTGCTTTTCTAAACTTTTCAGTTGTACTTTGTGAAAGAAGACTTTGCGGTTTCGCCAAACAATTTCGATAATCAATAGTAAATAATCTATGTCGCTATTGAAGTTACACATGCTAAGTAGAAGAGCTTACTCGTAAAACGCGCCTGATATCGTGACTGAAAAGCATTTCAAAAAGTGAACATTTACGTACGAAAGCATATTAGCAAAAACATACTTAAATTTCCAAAAAAATTCCTCCCTAAAACAAAACTAAATTTTTTAATATACACAGTCCAAGAAATGAATTCATAATTAGCACAGTTTATTCCACCAGTTGACAAAATATTAAAACTAAAACAGTATTTACCTGCGATAATTCCTCAAGAGTACGTGAAACAGGAAATGCTCGGAAGGGCACATAATAGCTTTTGCATAAAATCCTTTTCACGAGCACATCTTTGCTAACGTTTAGATTACCTAGGTTTTAAGAAATCTTCGTACATTCAATTCACTTTTCTAATAGAAGTGTATATATATAAGGTGCAAAGTGATGATATAAAACTGGAAAAAAAATTTTTTTTTGAAAAAATTATTATCTAAATTAAAATGACTTTTCATTTAGATAGTCTAAAATAACAAATGTTACTACATTCTGAGAGGCATTTTTCGTGCTTGTGGGGTACACAAGAGAAGGAAACAAATTTTTATGTATACTACGGTTAAAAGCAATTGAAAACCGCAAGGTGTTTCTTAGCGGTTCGTCGCTAAAAACAAGCGAAAAGACCAAACGACAAGACAGAACGGTCAAAAAAGTGGAAGCAAAACAGTTAGTTCTGGAATATTCCTTAACTAATAACTATGTACTACAAGGAAATAATTGGTTTTGTGAAAAAGCAGCTGTCTACTGTTAGCAGGATTAAAAATCTTAAGAACGAAGATACTTCTGGGACATAACAATTACTAATCACACTGATAAAACTCCATCTCCAAAGAGATTGAGTGGAAAATTGACCGGAAATTGACAACAAGAATAATTAGCCAAAAAAAGACGATCATTCAAGCAATTTGTCCGGAAGACCATCAGAAGTGAAAAAAACAAATAGTCAAACTGACAATTGCTGAATCATTTTCTGAGGATAATTGATTTGTTTTACACAAATTTTAGATGTACTTTATATGATGATTAATTTGTTTAAAATAGAATATTGTAAAGATTACTATTGGATCATTATTGTTATTACTATCATCATTTCCATCGGCTATTAGTTGTTGAGACTACTATTCATCTGGTTCAAAACTGTGTTGGTTGTATTCCTCAAAATACTTGGCAAACTTACTGGATTCCTAACAAAATTATTCTAAACACTTTCGGATCACCATAAGAAGCATGGCAGGCGACTACTCATACAACTCAGACATAAAATAAATATGAGTTTCTTTTCGTAACAGTGTCTTTGGGAAACTGTGGAAGAAATAAAAATGATACAAGAGTTAAAAACGCAACGTAACACTTTGAGGACCGCAAATTACATAGAGCTCAGGGGAAGCCTTTGTACTCTCTCTAGGCTTAGGTCCAAATGATTTTACATCACGTACTTAATTCCTCAGACTTCTAAAGCAGACTTTTCAAGATTTAATTCTGTCAGTCAGCGCATCATTTTGATCTTTCTTGCTGTAATTGTACACTTAAGGCCTTCCCGTACCAATTTTTTGAGGATTTAGATCATTTCAGAGCATTCACAGAGATGTGAATGGAAATTGTCATAATATCTGAGATCTTTTTTGTATCGCAGCAGCTTTTTCTAGACTCACTATTTCCAGCTTTTGAATACCTGCAATATGCTTATTTTTAAACTTAGCGTCAAAAAAAGTAAGACAACAGTACTTAAAAATAGAACCAAGCGTGGAAACAGTTCTAGCATATTACCTTACCTTTTAGGCGTCTTTTCACACCTCTTCTATTTCTTCCCTAGTCTTCCAAAAATTGACAGGAAACGTCTTACAACCTCTAGTTGTCTTTGGAAATGGTGCAAATGAAAATTTTTTTTCGTTGTGTACGCCACAACCACATAAAAGGTTTTGGAAAAAATTCACTCAACTGAGTAATAGATTACATATGTTACAGATGTGTATGACACATTTTACCCATAAAACTACAAACTAACTTCATAGCGTCCAAATGGAGAGTGGTTTTTTAGATAAATGGTAACTTATTTTAAAAAAATTATCTTCCCACTTTTTTAGCCACTATTATAAATATATATAGTATAAATAAATGTGATGTATTTTTAGCTCAAATACGTTAATACGTGTTTTACATCGAAGAAGAAAGTTTAGTGAAGCTCAAATAATTTATAATGTAAAGAAAATCAAAAGCGTTACTTCTATATGAACAGACAAACGAAAGTTTTTCCTTGCAATCTCGATAACTTTTTTGCTTGGTAGGATGATAGGAAAGACAGCGAGAAGAATTCCGTACAGACAATGTTTTGTGGAGAACCCAATAATGCTCTTTTAACAGCGATAGCGCAGCTGCAAAAAAATTTTGTGCCTTATATTTTCCAAAAAACCATCAAAAGTAACAAAAAAATTCTGTTTTATAAGGAATAAAACAAGTCAATTTATTTTTCTCAAAAACATAGGCTTTTACAAGCCTACTAAATTTTGCATTTCCTTATAATTTCTTCCTTATCTTTTTTACTTCTGTCTTCTTAATCTACTCCTCATCTTTAATTTCAATTCGTATTTTGATTAAAAACAGTTACAGGCAATTCCCCTCATCCTCTCCCTTGAAAAAGCTAACAAGTTTGTGTTCGCCATCAATCTGCAGTATTTTCCAGCTCGTGCTGCTGTTAGCGGGATGTTGTACTAGAATGATAGAAGATTTTGACAAGATTGCAAGTTTGTAAGCATTATACTTCCAATTAACTCTCAAATGGGATACTTGAAACAATTATATAAGCTGACAAGAACGGTATATAAGAGAAAAAAACAGGTTGAAAATTAATGATGAAATCTGTCTGTATAAAAATATATCAATATAAATTGTTTAGTAAAATCAAGTTGCGGAATTGATTTCTGCCTCCTTCCTCTCCAACTTCTTCACAGTAAGAAGCGTTGAGAGATTTTATATTTGCGGTGAAAAGCTTTTGAAGAAAACACGTTGCTTCTATCGCTCTTCATTTTGTTGCTTAAAGATGGGAAGGTATTAGGTTTTGTAAAGGACTTTATATTTGAAAAAGGTGGCAGTTCTGATATCCTGTTTAGTGGCGTTCCATCCCTCAAAAGACTTGAAAAATGCAAAAAATTCTTGGGTTAATTCATTAACAAAACCCTACTTAAACAAGAGATTCTGAATGACCTGCAACTTAGTAAGTCCAGGCGTGGGCAGAAACAAAATATCATCAATAGCACTATAATCTGCCTTAAAATCTACCGGAGAAAAAAGGCCAGATTGCCACTTGTTCTCTGGTCACTTTAGGAAGACGGATTGCTTACGTTTAAAAAGAACTGGTCTGTATTTGAAAACTGTGAGTTGACGATCACTGTGAAGATCTCACTGCTGAACGCAACGGTGTTGTCGCATTGCGGATAAAACGTGAATGAATTCTGCACAAATTCGGCATCGTTTTAAAGACATTTCATGGGGGAAGCCATAATGAGCAATATGATCAAGAGACGTTGTCCAGTTCCATTATTGAAATGACAGTTTTATTTGGAAAGCAACCGTTGAAGATCCGCTAAACGTGAAGCTTTACGCGACCTGCGAGGTAGGCAGCAGAAAAGAAAGCCAGAAAATTTAATTATTTTTCGCCAGGACATAGCATGCCAAGATACTCTCAATATGTCTTATGAATTACCACGCAAGTTTCAGTGGCAATCGATGTATTAAATACCGTGTAATTCATTAGCACCCTTCTGATAACTCTTTTTTTTGCAATACTGAACCAATATTAAGAAAATATTTTGGTGTCCTATTATTGCGTTATGTAAATGCAACTTTGTTATTACACCAAAATTACTGTTGCTTTTATTTCTAAGCTTCACATTTTTTTTCCGTTTTTATTTCGCATTTCAATCACAAATGAAAAATCCCTAGATAACCAGAACGTAAGAACAGCAGCAATCCAGAAATTGTCAAGCTGCTTTAAAACGGTTGAGGACACCTTATCTCTACAATCTTGTAAAAAATTGACCATCAATTATCGGTAGTGTTATAGCAGAAAAGTACCATGTGAATGTGTTTTAGTTTTATAAAGCTTAACGTGCACTTCGTCAACTTTTAACCACCCAGTTTTTCATCTGTATCTGCTGAAAGTGTCCCAAAATTAAAAAATTCTTTGTCATGGTTACTGGTAACGGCGTTTAAATTAGAATGCCAGGCTGCAGCTGATTTTTGTTAGTTGGCGCAGCGATGAGTTTAAATCTAGTTTGTTCTTTTGTCAAAGTAACATCATTAGGATTTAAAATTTTCATTTAATTTAGTTTAATGGCTTCCAGAACTTTTGAATTTAGCAAGATGAGTTCACAACCCTGCAGGTCCATGACGGATCTACATAAAAGAACTTACTTTTCTGTAACAGAAGCCGGCGAACCAAGTCCATTTTGGATGGCACAGCTCGCCTGCAAAAAAAATTATTATTCCTTCATCAATTAGCATAATGATTACTTTTTTTCGGGACTACAAGTATATAGACTCAAAGGAAAATGAGAGGGGATGAAAGTAGAAGATTAAATTTCAGAATTTTTCCTTTTCACATAAAAATTTCCAAAATACAAAAAACTTAAGATAAAGGGATTTGCAAAACAGCAGATAACAAAGTTGCGATAGACTTTTTTCATCAATTGCATTTGTGGAAGAAATTACTAGTTTGAAGAAACACCGCACGACTGGATAGATGGAAACTGTCATTTTACCTTGTTACCATCCTACTTCATTAGTTGAGGCTTTATCATTCATTTTGTAACGACTGGTTTTTGAAATTATTAAACATTTTATTGAGAAATAAAGCGTAGGTAAATTTTTCAAAGAAGCTAAATCGACAGCGGAAACTGGTATGAATTTACAAACTTCTTTCTCTGAAAAGTTTTTTATTTTAGCCTCTTTGTTTCAATTAAATACACAGGAAATCTGTACCACTTGACAAGTACGAAAGTTTTACTCGTACGCTTAAACATGGGCTGCTGTTTCTCGGTTTGACGCATCAGTTGCTGCTAACCGCTTCCGCAACGAGTGAGAATTTAGGCAAAACGTCAGAGACAGCATATCAGCTCTTATATTTATTTGTCGATGGGCAACATTCTAAATCTCTAATTTCTTAAACACCTTCCGTACCCCTAGGATTTTTTCCTGTTCCTTCCACTCCCACCCCCCGTTATGTCGCTGCAGCTGTAAAAAGGTGTTATCCAGTTCCGCCACGATTTGTTTATATAGCGTTTTAGTAATTTCGACGACAGTTTTGATCATTTCGTGGAACCTTCTTCCCCTGCGGCTCCCGTGGTCTGCTGCTAGATGTCAGCTGCAGTTTTTAAGCCATATTACTCATCATAATTCATCAAGGACATCTGATGTTTTTTTAATTGTTCTTATTTCCCGACACAATCTGTTCATCGTCTTTCGGCACCGCAAATGACACATATACTAGGCTTTAGGAACTATCGCACATTAACGGCGCCATATATATTTGAAGGGGGAGACTTGTTTGAAATGCAGTGGTATGTGTTGTGGGACGTCAGGCAAAAGTTAGAGAAACCTGTTTGCCAGATAAAGAGGTGCTTGTTTTGCGTCTAGCTGAGTATTTATTATAACAGTTCTTTGCCTTACTCATCTGGTCTGAGAAAACTACTGCGTTAGTACCCTTATACAAAGGGCTTCCCAAAAATTAGTGACCAGTCAGGATCCAGTGAAGAAAGCCCGCAGTTCCCTAAGTAATTAAGAGGCGATAGGTGGTGTTCCGTTGTTTGTGACCAAAGGTGTACAAGGCGTTCACCCCGTAAATCCTTTTCCTTACGAACTCAGGAGCACCCTCTCTTTGCATACCATAATTTATGTTCCTCTTTGAATTTTTGCCGTAGAGACTGAATGCAAGCACAGGTCTGAGGATTACTGGAGTGAAGGCTGTGACTAACAGTCTTGTGCTGGGAGGCTTCTGGCTTATCTTTAATGGTACTATATGCCGCCCACTGATCAGATAATACAGTTGTTCCTGGAACAGTACACAACCTGGCCAAAAAACTGCAAAATCTTCCCGTTTCACTGGAACAACAAAACACTTATTGTCCCCTCGCCCAATGCTCTAAAAACACCTCTGTTTTCTTCTCACCCTACCCCAGTTGTGTTGTCTTCCAGTTAGGAGCGTTCGATCAAAGTCCACTACCTTACCAGGACCCCCAATTCGCTTCAGTCAGTCCTGCTACGCCGCCCTGTAGTCTCTTCTCCATTTTAATAAGTGACGTCAGATGGCTCCTGTTATTAGTTCGTAAATTCCTTATTTTTTTTTAATTGCAGCTGATTACTTTCCACCGAGAAGCCAGTTATCGTGCTGGAGCTGCCAGGTTGTAAGGGGTCCAGGATTTCTTTGTTTTCGTTGTCGACTCGTGTTCATTTCATGATTTAAATACCCGAGTTTGAAGTATATTTTTATTTAAATAGCGGATAAAGTGCGCGCAGATATCCAAATTTTCACGACACTTCCCGTCCTTCTCTCCTAACTCTCGTCGTCGTCTGCAAATATTTTAGAGGAGC